TAAGGGCAATCAGGAACATGCAAAAAGGAGTGAGTCACCTTACCAGTGGCGAGTTGGACTCTTCTTTCAGTGGTCCATCGGTACCTTTTTCCTCCGGTGGCTCCTTGAACCCACACCGATTTGTCAGTCAGGGGTCCCGGTGAGGTGGTGAGTACCGAATGCTGGGCTCCGGTGTCCACCAGGAAGGTAACGGGTTGCCCCCCCACATTAAGAGTTATCCTGGGTTCAGGGGGGGGCTCCTGACCCTGACTCCCCTAATCCTCCAGGTTTAACAGGGTGGCCTGGGGCTAGGCTTTCGTGGCCCTTTTGGTCTCTTTGGGCAGTCTTGGACCCAATGCCCTTTCTCCTTGCAGTAAGCGCATTGGTCTTTGTCTACTCGTGGACCCCAGCGGTCTCCCAGGCCCTTTCTACTCTGTCTCTGTCCTGTCACTACTGTGGCCAGTAACTTGCTAAATTCCCTATTTCTCTTACGTTCTCTCACGTTCTCTCTTTCCTCTGCTTCTTTCCTTAACCTTTCATCTCTTTCTTCTTGTGTTTCTCTCTTATTAAAAATCTGCTCCGCCTCCTTCAATAAATCCTGTACTGTACTTTCTCTCAAGTTTTCAAGCCTTTCTAACTTCTTTCTAATATCTGGGGCAGACTGCCAGATGAAAGACATGGCTACATTGGTTGCTTGACCTGGGTCTTCTGGATCATAGGGAGTGTACATACGGTATGCCTCCTTAAGTCGTTCTAGGAAAGCAGAGGGGGATTCCTCAGGTTTCTGGGTCACTAACTTAACCTGAGCCAAATTAGTTGGGCGTCTTGCAGCCCCACGGAGACCCGCTATGAGCAACTGGCGATAGAGACGTAGGTGTTCCCTACCGCGTGCAGTAGTAAGTCCCAGGTGGGTCGCTCCAGGGGGAAGGCAGTATCAATCTGTTGCGGTAATTGTGTGGGCTGCCCGTCATCCCCTGGGACGTTTTTGCGGGCTTCCAGGATGACCCGCTGCTTTTCTTCGGTGGTTAACAGGGTTTGGAGCAACTGCTGGCAATCGTCCCAAGTAGGCTGATGGGTCACTAGAATAGACTCGATCAGTGCCGTGAGCCTAGAGGGGTCCTTAGAGAAAGGAGGGTTATTATTTTTCCAATTGTATAAGTCAGACGCGGAGAAGGGCCAGTACTGGAGTTGGTGGTCAGGCCCCGTTCGCAATAGAAGGGCCTGGGAGGAGGGATCAGGAGGGACTTCCCGACGCCCCCTCAATCGTCCTGCCACCGGGGACGAGGTGGATTCTCCCTGGGGTTCCCGTCTGGTGGCCACTCCCTCTGGTTCCCCAACAGGGTCTGGGTTTCTGTAAGGAGGGGGCTGTTCAGTCAAAAGATCCAAAAGAGGGCCATCATCTGCTGGCAGTACTGGGGGTGTTTTCTTATGCCCAGAGGTCTCTTCTGGAGCCGGTTTCGTGAGGACCGGGTAAAGAGTAGAGTTAGTCGGGGTTGGAACCAGCGGAGGAGGAAGGGAGGAGGCAGACGGGGTGGGTTTCGGGCAAGGGGGAAGGAAAGGCTTTACCCATGGTGGGGGATTTCTGACCAGAGATTCCCATGTGATGATATAGGGAACCTGGTCAGGATGTCCATGGGGTCCAGGGTCCATGACTTTAGCTTTCACCTGTAAAATAACTCCTAGGTTAAAGGTGCCATCTAGTGGCCAGCCCACGTCAAAGGTTGGCCACTCAGATGAACAGAAGGTGTCCCACTTTCCTTTTCGCACTTCCGCAGAGAGGTTGTGGGCGATGTCACGGACTTCCTTGAAGTGCTGTAAAGTTAAACTTTTGGGAGTGGTGACAGTTTGTCCCATATTTTCAAATAGATAGAAAACACTTATTACGCTTACTACAGAAATTAGACAGACAGAACACAACACAAGCCGCGTGGCACGAGAGCGACGCAAAACTGAAAGTAAAAATTCAGATGGAGACTGCGCTGGAGGTCCGGTTCCTCTGTCTCCCAGATGAAACATGTAGCCCTCGAACAGGGGCGAAGCCCCGAGAAGTCCGAGTCGGCTCGTGCTTCCAAACAGACGGGAGCCGAAAAATTGGCTCCCTACCAGAAGAGGGACTCGAACCCTCACAACAAACGGGAGCCAAAACTTAGCCCCCCTCCAGACCCCCTGGGACGTCTCCCAGGGGTGCGGAAGTGAAGTCCGAGCTCGTCGGCTCCTTCTGGCTTCCGCCCTAATACGGATGACTTGGCCAAGCCTCAGATTCGGATGCAAACACTTAAGACAGAAACCAACTGACACACAGACAAACAAGTTCTGCCGGCAATCTTACCTCCCGAATTTGGGTCGGTGGTCTCAAATCCCAGACGAGCCCCCACATGAAAGACCCCCGAAGGGAATCTTCCGTCAGAGAGACCCCCACTCCCAAGGATCAGCGAGTCCAGTTGTTCGGCTGCAAACAGCAAGAGGTTTTATTCAATACACGGGTACCCGGGGCGACAAAGTCTCTTGGAAGACTTGCGCGCCCTTTGGGGGGAAAGCTGGGCTTTTATAGGGTTTTAGAGCAGAAGCGCGGGTACAGAAGCGAGAAGCATGGTTACAGGGGGCTGATTGGTACATTTACATGAGACCACAGTTTGAGTCAGAGTTTGGCAGGGACACCAGGATTCCAGGAACTGGGTGGTCGAGATGGTCATGATGACCCCCTTAACTTGGCCCGCCACCTGTTGTTTTCTTTAGGACTCTTATCTCAACTGAAACAGTCTCACAGATATCCATGAGGGTGATTAACACAAACTGTTTTTAGCTCGACTGGGGCAGCCTGACCGCAGATATGACACAGCTGGGTTTCTCAGTAATTTTCCAGTTCCCCACCTAGCCTACAGAGTTTCTCAAAACAGTGGTGGCGTTAGCTATGTCTAACTTAGGGTGAGGCGGGGGTCTTTCATCAGTTGACCAACAGTTGCTGAAAGTTATCAAATATAACTCACTGGGGCCTGGTGGTCGTTGTGCACCCTTTAATGCCAGCACTCAGAAGGCAGAGGCAGGAAGATCTTTGGGTTTGAGGCCAGCCTGGTCTACAAAATCCAGGACAGCCAGGGCTACATAGAGAAACCCTGCTTCAAAAAAACAACAAAACAAAAGGTAGTCCTTACATTTAGGATCAGATCATCTGCAAATGGGGATTTTGTGACTTCTTTCTTATCTTTTTGTATACTTCCTTGAATAAGAGTGAACCCTTGATTTTAGAGGCAGTACATTTAGTTTTTTTCTCACTTAGTATAATGTTAGGCTTAGGTTTGTCCTATGTAGCCTTTATTGATTTTGAGGTCCGTTCTTTCTGATCTGAATTTCTTCAGGGCTTTTCTTATGATCATGGAAGGATGTAAAATTTTGTCAAAGGCATTTTCTCATCTAATGAGATGATCTGTGATTTCTTTTTGTCCCTGATTCTACTTATGTGACATATTTCATTTTTTAATTTGCTATCTTAGGCCATCCTTGCCTCTTGATGATGACAGGTGGTCTTTTCAATATTTGTTTGAGTTTTGTTTGCAAGTTCTTTCTGACATAGTTTATCATGAAAATTGAGTGGTTGGTTTTTTCTTTTGTCCTTTTATGGTTGTGGTATGAATATGGTACAGCTTAATGGAGTGAATTAATAGTGTTTCTTCTCTTTTATTTTACAGAATAGTTTGCTGTTAGTTCTTCAGTGAAGGTCTAATTAAAATCCACCCAGTTCTGGGCTTCTCTTTGCTAGGATACTCTTCATCTTCTTGGGTAGGCCCAGATGGAGCTGTACTTCTGTCTCAGCTCTTTGCAAAGAGGAAAAGACACAATCTTCCTGCAAATGTGAGAATGTGTATTGAAATGAAAGGGATTTAGCAGCTGCCACTTCAGGGACCTTGATTTAGTTTTGGTAGATGATATGTGTCCAGGACTTATATTTTATCTAAATTCCAAGATTTTTCACCTTTTTTAAAATACAGGCTTTCAAAAGTATTTCCTAATGATCCTCTGGATTTTATTGATACCTGTTGCAATGATATTTCTTCTCTCTCTTTAGCTGGGTTAGCTAAAGATTTGTCAGTCTTATGTATTTAAAAAAAAAAAAAGCTCTGTTTTACTCATCCTTTTTATCACTGTTTTCATTTCCACTTCTTTAATTTCCATCCTGATGCTTATTATTTCTTCCTATCTACCAATTTAGGGCTTGGATTTTTGTTGGTTGGATGGTTTCTCTGAGGCTTGAAATTCTTACTGGAGATTGAGACAACATAGGTAAAATAATCTGCCCAGCCCAAGGTCAATAAGGCAATTATAAAAGTTAACAGGTGTCTGTGTCTCAGTATTGAGAGACACAAAGATTAAAAAGTAGCAGCTATTGTTAATGTTTAAGGCCTGAACTAGATGGGTGGAGAAGTCCACCTCCCAGCCCCCATCCAGTGCCGTCCGCCTTAACCATCTTTATCTGGGCTACCTTCCATCCATAATCTTTTAAATATTTGCTTGTATTCTTCATCTGGGATTTTCCATGCCATTACTGGAGTCCTTCCTCCTGGTCCACGTGGTTTCTTCTCCATGCTAATCCATCATGGTGCCCTCTTTCCTCCTCTCTTCCTGTCTGTCTGTGTTCTTCCCATGATTCTCCTCTTCCCAAAGCCCAGAAACTTTAGCCGAGCCTACCCCAGTCTGCCCTGTCCAGGTTTTAGGCCTTTTAATCAACCAATCAGGTATAATGTCTTACACAGGTTTAAACAACAAGGATAGGTGTATCTGGGAAGTAACCAGATCTTGAGGGCCAGTAATTAGCATCAAAATGCAAGCATCAGACCAATCCCCAACAAAAGTTTATGAGGATTGTGCTTTTGTCATGTGGGGAGGGGTTTCAGTCTCTTCCCCTTCTGGACCTAGCTTCAACTTCCCTTCTTCGTGATTTCTGATGTCCTTCTAATCCTTCCCCCATTTTATAATAGAGCCTATGCTTTGTTATTCTGACTCTCTTTATTCCTTGTGTCACACAGAGGCAGCTCCCAATCAGCAAGCTTCCCTCAATGACCTGTGTACAGATTTTGAATGTCAGCTGAATCTCTCCAACAGCCCTCCTCGCTGCAGACCAGTGTATTCTAAGAAAGGGCTGGAACATAAAGTTGATCTGCAAAGGCATTTATTTCCAGGTATGAACAGCTAGTTTTTCCATTAAGAGAAAGAGACCATTTGATACCTTTGTTAAAAAGAAGTCAATGAGATTGTCTTCTGCAACACCAAGTTTAGGAAGGGACAGTGCTACAAATCTCTTGGGAATGAGGGGCAGGTACCCTTGAAGTCATCTAGCATAGGACTAGCAAAATCTGATAGGTAAATATGCAGAGGCTGAGCCCCCCTCCCCACCATCGACTTAAAACATATCATTTCCAGGGGTGGGGCTTGAGCATGTGCATTTGAGGCAGCTTCTTAAGAAGTTCTGGTCCTGGGTCCAGAACTCACTGAACCAGTGCATACATAGCAAAGGCCTTACACAGAAGCACAATGCTATATATAGTTGACCCCTTTAGTCAGCTTTTAAGGATTCACATGGCAGATAGGAGGGTGCTAAGGAGCCATTAGTACTTAGTCTTTAGTCTCAAAGAGAGGTAGTTAGGCGGACTCACCACGGTCTAATCTTGGTACAAAATAATAATTTTAGACTATGGATAACATTCGGTTTTAGCTAGATTTTGTCTAAAAAAATTCCTACTGAGAAATGATTCAGGTTTCTGAAGGAAGGAAACAGCTTTTTAAAATTCGTACATTGGACATATATGAGATCTATTAATCAAATGATACAGAGACATCTGTATATGGTATAAACAATTATTTGTTTTTTAATGTATGAGTGCTCTATCAGCATATACACCTGCATGCCAGAAGAGGGCATCGTATCACATTATACATGGCTGTTAACCATCATGTGGTTGACTGGGAATTGAACCCAGGACTTCTGGAAGAGCAGTCACTGCTCTTAACCACTGAGCCATTCTCCAGCCCAGTATAAAGAATTATTAATATCCTGGGAATTAATGTATTAGGATGGCCTTAGGTCCATTTTCAAAATTAAATAACCGAACTCTTTTTACTTATTAGCTTATTGGATTGTTTTTAAACTTTCCACAAAGGAATCTGATACAAGAATGGCTGTTATTAAAGACACTCAGATACATTCCCGTAAGAACACAAAACCAGAAACCATAATTAATAAATTATAATAAACTATAAATATACCCAGAGAAAGCATTTGAGACAAAAAAGTTCCAAAAATACCATTGAGTTTGCTATATATTGGCCATCCATTCTCCATTTTAAACATAATATATAAGTCATTCAAAACAATACAAACACGTATTTGAAATCTCGTCCATTCTTTTCATGTCCAGTGTTGCCAGAATGTTTGAAATATACTCCTGAATCCCTCTGGAGGGATCTCTGCTCACAGCATGAGAGACTAGAGGACTTAATAAGCCAGCAAGTGCATTCTTTCTCCTGTGGTTTGCTGATCCTCTCTAGAAGCTGGGCTGTGGACCTGGACTTGGAAGAGAAGCAGGGGGTCATCTGTGATGCTCTGCTGATTGCACAGAATAGTCCCCCCATCCTCTACACCATCCTGGAGGAGCAGGATGAGAGGGGACGGGACTACTGCACCCGCACTGCCTTTACTCTGAAGCAGAAGCTAGTGAACACTGGAGGCTACACGGGGAGGGTGTGTGTCATAACCAAGGTTCTCTGCCTGGGTTCTGAGAGCAATGTTGAGGCCAATGGGGAGTCAGCCTCTCCTATTCATTACCCACCCTCCTATAACCTTGCAAGCACCCAGGAAATGGAAGCTTTGCTGCAGGCCCTCGTGATTGTCTTGCTCAACTTCAGATCTTTCTTGAGTGACCAGCTCGGCTGTGAAATTCTCAACCTTCTCACAGCCCAGCAGTATGAGATACTCTCAAAAAGCCTCCGCAAAACCAGAAAACTGTTTGTGCATGGCTTGCCAGGCACAGGGAAGACAATCATGGCCATGAAAATCATGGAAAAGATCAGAAACACGTTCCACTGTGAAACAGATAACATTCTCTACATCTGTGAAAATCAGCTTTTGAGAGACTTGATAGCGTAAGTGTTTGGATCTTATGTCTGTGTGTTATCAATCCGGGTTTGACATTGTCTGTTGCGTTACCCTGATTCTTGGGAATTAGACAGTAAAATGACCGGTGACTGCAGTGACAGAGTTAGAGAAACACCTAATGTCCTTTTCGCTGTTACAGGGGAAAAAATCTGTGCCAGGCAGTGACCCGGAAAACCTTTATGCGTCCTCACTTTAACGCAACGATGGTCCAACACATCATTGTTGATGAAGCCCAGAATTTCCGCACTGAAGATGGGAACTGGTACGAAAAGGTAGAAAAAATCACTCAAAGCACGGAAGATTGTCGAATTCTATGGATCTTTCTGGACTATTTTCAGACCAGTCATCTGCAAATGAGTGGCCTCCCACATTTCTCACGCCAGTTTCCAAAAGAAGAGCTCACCAAAGTGGTACGGAATGCAGATAATATAGCTGCGTTTCTAAAACAAAAATTGCAAGAAATCAGAAATGTCCGTCCAAAAATCATCCCTCCCGAGTCCCTGGAGATGCTCCATGATTTTAACTGGTGTCAAGGTGTATCAGGCAGCTGCGAGACTAGAAACTTGAGTTGGCATCATGCAGTGAGTTATGTAGCAGATAAGTGTGATTTTTTCTTGAGGAATGGGTATTCTCCCCAAGATATTGCAGTGCTTTTCAGCACGGACAGCGCAAGGGAAAGCTATGAAAATATGTTCCTTGAAAAAATGAGGAGGATAAATGATGCGTTTATCTATCCTCCTCCTAACATGTTTGACAGCATCCGTCGATTCTCAGGCCTGGAAAGAAGCATTGTGTTTGGTATTGATCCCTCTACAGTTGAGTGGCCCATTTCCCGCAACCTATTGCTCTGTCTGGCTTCCAGAGCAAGAAAACATCTATATATTTTGTTTTGTGCTTGATCATAGTTTCCACTGAAGGGAAGGAAACTCTATGATCCCAATACATTATAAATAAGACATGTATGCCTTTTAATATTTTAAAGCTTAGGCCTTTTTTTTTTTTAACTCCCAGCCATCCATCATTTAAACTTAACCTGACTCTAGTCTACAAACCCACCACATGGCTAGCCCTTTACCTCCCAGTTTCTTAGACCCATCTTGCTTCCTCCATCTCCCACTTGAATCTACTGCTTCTGCCTATGTCAGTGCCTGCCCAGGAGTTATGAACGATCTAGAACTTTCTGCCCTAGATATTGACTGTCAGATCTTTATTCCAACCAATTAGCAGCAATGCAACACTGATCCAGCTCTTAGGCAGCCTTAGGCAATGAAGGCTGAGTGATCTCCATCTTCTGGGCTTACAAAATATAAGACCAGTGAAGGGCCATAGAGCATACAGTAACTAAAATCTGGCTAGCCCTTAGCTTGTTCTCTGTCAGTTCAGCAATCAACAATCGATATATAGAAACACACTTAAATACAATGAACTCCAACATTCCACAGTAGAGAGAGAATCTCACCAAGATACTAAGCCTTCGTTTTCCAAAGGAGCAGAGAGGTCCAGCCTTCTTGGAAAAGACTGGCACCCAGATAGCTCACTCCAGTTATTTTATTCAAAGAATATACAAGGTTGATTGGGGCTGGGAAAGGTTCCAGCTACCAAAATTATCTTGCCCTTGCTGCCTGGAAGAACAGAAAATCTACACAAACCTCAGTCCCTTTTGACCACAGCTAGACACAGTCAAAAGTAAGAACTCTGGGTTTGCCAGGACTGTCTTAGGACCAAGGTCTGTGCAGCTCCAAGCTTCCAAGTAGCACCTAGTGCAGATTCTCCAAAGAAACAACATTTCTTCAAGGTCCAAACAGTTTCAAAACAATTTCTCCGCATCCACTGATTAACCCAACCAAGCAAAGGCTTTGCTAAAACATGTACTCAAAGGCAAACACAAAGGTTTTACTATATATTTCACTTTAAGCCAGATTTAAAGATCTTACTTTACATTTCATTTATATTTCCCTACTGTCTGTTTTTAATTGGATTTGTTATGTTGGAGATTATGAAGTTGTACAGTAAAAAGGGCCTTTTGTCTATCTAGTGGTCTAACAGTTTTATGCAAATTAATCAGACCTTTCAAAGGCTTTATTTTACTTTTCACTAGAGTATATCCTGAAGTCTTCTCATCATTTCTAGTCCTGGGGGACGTAGCTCAGTAGCAGAGTGCTAGAACAAGATTTATGAAGTCCTAGGTTCAATCACTGATTATGGGAAAGCAAAATCTAATTGAGGTCCTTCAGAAAAGAACATTATAAAGATACAACAAAACTCTTGTCCTGTAGTTTCAGAAAATGTAGGGAAAGGAATTACCAATGGACACTGAGACTAGCTAGGGATCTGAGGCTGAAAAGTTGGAGAAAAGGATGGCAAAAGAATGGACACAGGACGTATACTGGGACAATGCTGAAACCACAAGGACTGAAACTATGAGAACAACACAATGTGGTAAGTCATAGCCGATGTGTTAAAACAGGCTTCCATTTTAAATCGGCAAATACATTCACAAAAATATTTTACAAGTATAAAGAAAAGGACTAAAACCACAACACTATTGAGTGGTAACGGATAGTCTCCTGCTCTAAGTACCGGCTTTCTGCAACCTTGCAGGAGAGAATGCATTTGAACACTGCAGTGTGTGCCTCCCCGGGTTTTTTGGAAAGCGTGCTTCCACCCCTTCCTGTCCGCACACTGGCTCCAGGTTCCTCACCCCCACCCTGACTGTAAAGGGCTAGCCCATGCAGGTCTGCCCTGACAGAGACAGTGGGAGGCACGGTGGTGCAGCACTGGTGATTCAGTTTTAAATTCCCCCTGCAGGCCAAGCAGGCCACTTAAGACACATGGTTGATGGGCATGTTGGTTTGGGGATAAAGGGGGTGAAGCCATGGCTTTGTTGCCACCTTTTAAGCTTTTGCTGTTCAGTCTGAAATGATGCAGTATGGTTGGATCAGCAGTATCCCGGTCTATGAACAGGCTGAGAGTTTTGCTTTGATACTAGTTCAGATATATATTAACTGTCATGCTAAAAACAAAACAAAACAAAACAAAACACTGATTAAGCTTACTTAGTCTCCTTTTCTGTTTCCAAGGTTACGCCGAGGATGGGAAACTATCCAATCAAAGTTTGTTTGGCTCAGCTATACTTAATAGATCATGGTCCTCAAACCTGTCAGAAAATCTGCAGCAAGTGCATTAAGTGCATAATAAAGAAGCCTAATATGACAGAGACCCCTGCTTCTAGTGGTGACCCCAAGGACTCCAGGAATATTTGGGCACAATGAGAGATGACTCCATCTGGACTGCCCCAACTGGCTGCTGCCAAGGCCCTGCCTGAACTGTGGACAAACACAACACCAGGAGAGTTGACTGTTTTGCCTAGACAAAATAAGGTCGGTCATTCTCCCAAATTCCTCTTCCATGGAAAGGCCTTTCAGATTTGCTGGGCCCAGCACCCAAAGACTGATGCTGTGATGCTGCCCTAGGACTTGCGCTCACAAGAGCCACTGCCACCACAGGAGCCTGATGGGAAGGCCGTCTGGATAGGAATCCAATAAGTTATTCTTCTCAGGTCTCTGATGGGTTTGAACAGCAGAAACCAAGGCTGCACCTGCCCTCTCAAAGATGCACACTTTACCTAAGTTCTAAGCTTCTGATAAAGTGTTTGAGGGTCTGAGAAGGTATTTTGAGGTTGGTGATAAGAAAGTAATTTCAGGCATATAAAAACTCTTCTCCCCACTATGCTACATCGTATTAAGACTGTTTAGAGCTTTAACATTAATCAGATTTTAAATTGTCTTCCAAGCCAATTTGTCTCTTTCTGTAAACTTCAGGAGATAATTCACAAGTCATGTTCCAGATAAGTACTGTCAATCAACAGCCTGTTTCCCAGACCACCTATTCCTGAGGGTGGAATTCCTCCCCTGGTTGGGGGACTCCCCTACCCAACTACCAAGACCATGGGCCTAAAAGTGAAACTCCTTGACTTCATCTTCTGCCCCTAAAATACACATGTTCCAGCATCCTGCTTCCTCAAGGGCTGCATCCAGAACTCAGGTGCTGCTCTGGCCTAAACCTCACAGACTGCATCAGCTGGACCTGATCGCAGATGGTCTCACAGGTCCTGGGCAGCAAACACAACAGCCTGCTTGTGGGACCTGGCCAACACTCCAGCTTTTTACCCCATGCCCCAAAACCAGTGCCCCCAATGTCAGCCGGGAGGATCCAGAAAAGATTCTTCTCCCATTATCCATTTATTACAACAAAAGGCTGGGATGTCAAAGTCCCTACCTGCCGCAGGACATGGCTGCCATAACCTGCTCTCCACCTAGGGGCAGGGCTTCTCTCCCAGAGACCCTTCACAGACATCTTGGTTCTGTTAACCCTTTTCCATCCTTCCTTCCACTTTCCCTCTTTTCTGCCTTCTTTCCCCCCCCCCACCCCCACCAGCAGGTCCTCTCCTTCTGCTTCCCCCTCCCTCGATGCTCCCAAGAACCTGTGTTTATACAATAATATAGGTTCATCTCATCATTAGCTCATTTCATTTTATTTAATCAATCAATATAAACTTACGAAAAATGAGAGTCCACTCAGTGATCAAATTATTAATGATATTTTCTGCTTATTTGTATTTTCCATATTCCTAAAATAAACACATATTATTCTTGCTAAAAAATAATAAAGGTTTTATTACAAGGAAGGAAGGAAAAAAGAAAGAGAAAAAGAAAAATCAGGTAGTGAATAAATAACAGGAAGAGAGGGACACATCTTTGGGATAATAAGGCTCAATTTTTTTTTTTTTAAAAAAGGCTCATTTTTTTTTTTAATTACTGTTCTATTGCTGTGAAGAGACACCATGATCAAGGCAACTCATAAAATGAAAGCATTTAAATGGAGCTTGCTTATAGTTTCAGAAGGTTAGTCCATGATCATCAGAGCAGGAATCAAAAGGCATGACATTGGAGCAGTAGCTGAGAGCCTCACATCCTGAGCAGCAGGTGACAGAGAGAGACTGGGCCTGGGTGCTATTGAAACTTCAAAGCCCATCTCCAGGGGCATACCTCCTCCAGCAGAGTCACACCTCCAAGAAGGCCATACCTAATCCTCTCCAAACAGTTGCAGTAGCTGGGAAAAGGCATTTAAACATATGAGGTCTGTGGGAAGTGGGGGGGTGGGGGAGATTCCCATTCAAACTATCACACAAGGTCTCTCTCCATAGCTCTGGCTATCCTATCACACAGAGCTGCCTGCCTCTGCCTCTGCCTCCGGAATGCTGGGGTTAAAGGTGTGCGCCACTCCATCTGACCCCACAGTTCCTTTCGATCTATGTGACAATAAATCAGTTTCTCCTTCATAATCAGGATCAGTCACACAGTAAGTACAGTTAACTTTTCTGACAATAAGTTCAGCAACTGAGAAACCCAAAGAGGTCAGGACAGAGTCTTGGCTCACCATGTCCCAGGACCAGCTCTACTTGGGAACTGGAAACTCCAGGACTACAGGACCCAAGGTGACAGGATTGGCAGCAAAACTTCCCCCAAACTGTTATTACATACGACCATGAGATAGTCTACTGTGATCTGTTCCACCTTGTTTTTCAGACAGGTATGTTCCAACATAAACTGCCTCCAAAGGAGAAGCTCAACCTTGTGTTGTCTTCAAGCCTGAGCTGAGACTAATCCTGTAACAGATAATGTGGACATTTGTATTCAGATTGGCTGATTCTGAATGAGGGGCACATGATCAGTGAGTTTTATGACCTTGAGCCCAGTGCTATACCATAGGGGAATGCTTACATCTGGACTATATTCCTTCAGGTTTTCCAGAAGAACCCTGCTATCATGAGGATTTGTGCGCCAGCAGGAGGATCACTCAGCATTGGCGCCATTCTTTTATTTTTAGTAAGGGGGCGTTCATGTTTCTATCTCTCTATTTCAGAAATATGGATCACACCAGGATTCCAGAGTGTGAAACCCCAGTTTTCAACCCCACCTCCAAAAACAAAAATTGTTTTAATCAAATGAAGAACACTAGTCTCAAACAGTCTCACCAGATTTATGGAACACCTAGGAATGGATAATTCCATTCTTGTGCGAATTTTTCCAGAGAATTGAAAAAAGATAACTTTTCATTTGCAAGAATATTTTTTGGGGGGGGGAGCATGTGAACAGTTCTAATAAAATGGGTGCAGAGTCCTTCTGTACATGTGTACAAGTTAAATAGAGCTAAATTCAGCTGTACCTACCGCACTTTTCTCTCTGCTGGGATCAAAGGCCTAACAAGAAGCAACCTCAGCGAGAAAGGGTTAACTTTTGGATTATAGTTTGAAGTTCTAACCTGATGCCAAGACAACGAGGCAACTTTTAATGGAACTAAATTTTAAGTATTTTACAGGAAAAAAAAAATCACCTCTTTATACCATTGTATCCACAGTCAAGAAGCAGAGAGAAATGAATGCCCATGCCCAGCCCATGCAATGATGCCACCCACAATTAAGTTAACCACTTCAGTTAACCAAAGCTAGAAACTCCCTTGCAGATATACACAAGTATATCTCCTGGTGGCTCTAGATTCTAACAAGCTGACAACACTTTCTATTTATTTATTTTGAGAGGAGGTCTCACTATGTCACCCTAGATTTTCTAGAATGGGCTACATAGGCCACTCTGGCCTGGAACTCACAGAGATTCACCTACCTCTACCTCCTCCTGAATGCTGGGGGATTAAAGGCATACCTGACACACTATACCTGGCTACACATTGACAATATTAACCATCATAACAGCATAGCTGGCATATTAAAACAATGTATCATTTGTCTCAGGGGCATTGTACATAATTTTCTTCTCCCACGAGCATAACAGATTTATTTATTCTAAGATGCAAGATTCAGTTTAACATCTGGAAATCAACTGTTCTCTGTTGCATCACGATTTGTTAAAGGAGAAAACTGACAATTATCTCAATAGGCACAGAAAGGCAAAGTATAGGATTACGTGCCATGCACTCCAGAAAAATTCCAGAGGAGGGTGAAACCAAATGGGGAGGGGTAGCTTTCTTTTCCTGATAAAGGGCATTTTCAAAGACTCCCACAAAACCATTTGAATAGTTGGATTAATAGATATATTACAGGGTCAATACTGGACAGTTCAAAAATGGCTCATTCTTTCAAAGCCCCCACTACCTAGAAATGACTGTGGCCTCTTTGACATTTATCTAGGTAACTGGAGAGAGTCTGTCCATGGATGTAGCAAAATAGGAGATTAAGTGATGCCCCTGAATTTTCAAGGGAATTGATGGGAAAGAAGAGTGGAAGCTGGAGCTGGCTCCCACGTCATCAGCATCTATCATCTTTTGGGTCCACTAACCGCCTAGAGATATAGACGATCCAGGGCAACACTGAAGCCAAAGAACCTCCCTAAAGAAAATGAGCCCAGTCAAAAATCTCATAGAAGAGGAGGGAAGAGGCAAAGAAAAACCCCAAAGTGGTCTTTTCCCCCTCAAAACCCCAAGGCCAGTACTCCTCCATCCAAGGCTTCAGCTCCAGTTAAGCCCAGCTTGGAATCATGTCTGCACCTCAAATTAACTTCAGTGGTGGGTTGTGACTGGACCTCCAGAAGCACTCACATTCCTGTGAAAGGGGTGGTAGCACCCCTTCTGCCATTTGAGGACCCAGGTATATACCTCCCAAACCCCACCCCCAGCCAAGGGCAAGTGAGACCAGGTTGACCAGCAGCCTGTCAGTATGGCAACTGGCAACAACGAGGACTTAAGATATGAATTAGATCTGCTAAGGCCTGAATAAACTCAGACATAAGCAAGGCAGGCACCCTCACAGCAGACCCCTGAAACAATGATGCATCTATTTTCAGCCAAAACTTTGTGCAATTCTAGCCGAAACAGCCCAGAAATACTCCTGTCCATCACAATAATATGACATGTGTGGTTCACAACTTTTGAATTAAATGCCCCCCAAAATATCTTATCTTTCCTTTTAAAATTATGACCTTAAAAGAAGCATGCTTAGGTGTTGTTGGTTATTAAGCATATTTATTATTGATTTACCTCTTAGTTAAACAGCGGTTATTCCTAAACCAGCTTTATACCCAAATCACCACACAGGGACTAGGATTTATTTAATTAACCTAGAGCACAATGCTGGGCAATATTACTCCATCCTAAACCTCCAAGCCCACATAGTTTCCTACCATTCAGATTTCTCACATTATACTTGCTTTCAGTCATTTCTTAGGTCCAGTTCATCTCTCCTGTGGTTCCAAGTCCTCTCCTCTCTGACACTCCCTACTCACTTCCTTCTCCTCCCCTCCGGACCAGGATGCCCCACCCTATTCTCTCCATTGCTCAGCATTGGCTGGTTGTTTTATTGACAATACAGAGAACAAATGGCGGCACGTTTACACAAACTTGAGCCAGGTGATGCTTAGAATAAACATCATAATGCAATGCCGGGATTGACACAAGATTGTGGGGTAGAGAAATCAGCATGTGAATGAACAAGGGTAAATTATGTACATTCCACAGAAACATTATACCAACACTTCGGTGTGCGCTCCTTATCTGAGCATGCCCAGGAATAGGCCCTATGGTGGTGTGAATGAGAATGGTCCCCATAGGTTCATATCTTTGAATATGTGGTCTGCAGTTGACGGAAATGTTTGAGAAGTTTGGCACTGGAGGATATGTGTCACACTGGGAATGGGCTTTGAGGCTTCAAAAGCTCATGTCAAGCTGGGAAGTGGTGGTGCAGACCTTTAATCCCAGCACTAAGGAGGCAGAGACAGGTAGCTCTCTGAGTTTGTAGCTAGCCTGGTCTACAGAGTGAGTTTCAGGATGGCCTGAGCTACACAGAGAAACCTATCTCAAAAAAAAAAAAAAAAAAAAGCAAAACCAAGAAATCACACCATTCTCACTGAACTCTTTCTGCCTCGTGCTTATGAATAAAGATGTAAGTTCTTAGCTACTGCTCCAGCATCATGTGTTAGTCCCACTGAGCAAGAATAAAACCACTACCACAGTTTTTACGCCAAATTTGGAGCAAGCTTTATTAAATACTGTCCAGGTCCATAAATACTAGCCAGGTCCATACATATCTGTTTGATCCATATCATATCCCCTGGGACTGGAGCTACAGACAGTTGTGAGCTGTCTGAATTTTTGGGATTCCCAAAAAATGATCCTAAATTACACTAGACAGAGGCCTATAAAGGCAAAACCCACAAAGCTATGTATTTTCCACCTTTGTCCAATCAGGGGCAAGCACACAATCCAACATACTTCCTGCCTGTATATCTCCTACCTATGTACGTCCTGCCTATTTGTGATCAAGCACACATCCTGTACAATTAGTACAACCATGCTGTTTGCAGAAGTGAAAACACTAGGCTGTTAGCTTACATGAACAGCCCCCAGAATTCCAGGAAATTATCTGTCCTTGGGCAAGTGGGGCTTACAGGTTAGAACCATTTTTTGTTTTAAAAAGATTCATTTATTTATTATGTGTTTATAATATTAGATTTATTTATACAAGTGTTCTGCCTGCATGTACACCTACGTGAAAGAAGAGGGCAC